TTAATTACCGCTTCCTCTTTTATGCGCCACCAGCGGCCGAGCGGTAAAGTCGCTGAACACTGGTAGTTCGGTGCGAGGTTCGAATCCCGCGAACGGGGTGGCTGCAGGGGTGTTTTCGTGGTTTTCCCCATGCGTAACGTGCATACGAGCCAGTTTACCTTAGAAAGTCCTCCACGAAGGCATCCCTTCCCTTAGGCAGATATCCCTGGAGGCTTTTCCGTAATTAAATAACCTAACCTCTTTTAAGTGTAATTTTAAGCGAAATATTTTGCTCGATTCAATCAGTATTTCTTTTATAATGCAAAAGATTTTTAAGAACTATATTGTGTAAACTTTTCCTCAATTTTTCGGATTAATGATGCTCTCACTTGTTTCTTTCCACCTTCATTTTCCGTGTGTTCTGCGCACTATAATCTTTATGATTTAGTGGCCCGCGGTCACTTTTAATTGGCCATTACTGCATTGGAGGATTATATACATATATTGAATATTAACTGTTCATAATATTTCAATATTTTTTATGTGCATTTCAGTGTTTTTTCCGTTTGGAAACCTTATAACTACTTGCATTGCTTTAAAATAAATAATGATTTAAATGATTTGGAAAAAATTAGTGGTGGTACAAGAATAATCTTCTAATCTAAGATTTCTCGAATGGAATTTACAAGATTTCCCTGATTTCAGAAACTTCGCATTTCCTACTTTCAGAAATGCACTGCATGGGAGAATTCTAGAAATAAAAGTAATTTCAGATCTATACAAGGTGAAGCTTCTTGCCCATAACGTCTAAGCAAACTTGCCCATAACATATCGCAAAAATACATTCAAAACATTCTTGCTAGTGATATTACTTTTTTTAGGGGGGGCTAAGGTCTCTATACGTAATTTATATCTCTGAAATTTCACAGTATAAATATAAACACAGATATACACATGAATATTTTTATTTCATTTATATGCTTTTTGAAATTATACAGGATGTTCGGAAAATAATTGGCAAAATTTTAAAGGGAAGTAAAGAAGACAAAAATAAGCATTTTTCTCGCAGACTATGTGTCCGGAAATGAAGTATTTAAGCGCTAGTGACGAAGAAAGACAGGACAAAGGAAATTTAACAAACTGTTTAATAAGTGCTGTTTTATAACTGACGCTCAAATGAGTAACCATCAACACGACCACACCCTTTGCTTCATCGGCGCATGGATGTCGTATGCTTTCAAAGATATCAGATATGTGTGTAACATCTCCAGCACCAGCAATCAGTCTGAAAATGAAATCTTGTTCGGAGTCAATGAAAGTATCGTACACGGTGTTTTTCAAATGTTCATACAAGAAGATATTGAAACGTGTAAAATCTCGTGCTCATGGGGGCCAGCAAATACGTCTACCTCGACCAGATCAGCGATTTGTCTATGTGGCATCCTGGTGATTCCTGATATCAGTACTAAAATGTGCGGGAGTACCACCATGCTGGAATCAGATTCTGCTTTGAACTGCCTATAGCATCCTGAATATCATTTCTGGATATACATTCTACGTTAAAAAATGCTTATTTTGATCCCCTCTACCATCCTTTAAAATTCTGCCAGATACTTTTTGAGCACCCTGTATATATATGTATGAATATCCACCTTGACCGTAAAAGTTCTTATGCGGCTTTTGTTTTCGTAGCCATTGGTCGTAGATATATACTTCCACTTGCAAAGAGCTTTTAAGTGACAGAAATATTCTTGTTTTGGCATTTTTAAATTCTGAAAATATATTTTGTGAAATTTACGTAATCTAACTTTATATGATCCTTCGTCCCAAGTTATGTTTATTAAAAAATAATTATTAATCTGCAAAATAAAACTCAATATTCTATAAAATAAAACTTCTTTACCCCATTATCGAGAAATGTGCTACTGTAACACTAAAAATCTACACTCATAAAACAAATTTACCCCTTTTTAGTCCTTAGCAATCATAAACTGAATAACGGCACATATTCTTTCATCGTAAATCGCTCTTACAGCTACCATCGTGCTCAGTGCTTAAACTGCGCGCGAGTCAAATCCAGCTTCTAGCTTTTCAGTTTTTGAGTAAAACTGGAATTCCAGATGAGACCCTAAACAAAATGAGGTCCTGCATTTTGTTTAATTATTTAATTATTTGCCATTAATTAGATTAGTATATTAGTTTTTTGTTTCTCGCTTTTCATTTTATTTAATTTCAGTTACTAATTATTTATTATTTTATTTATTTATTTTTATTCTTTTCTCCTGTAAGCTCTTCTAATTTTAAAAATTAAGCACTGACTATAGTGTGGTCTCAGTGATCACTATTTCAAGTTAAATTCAGTTTTACATTTTTATTAAATCCAGGCAGTTTGGCAATTGTGGTTGATTCATTTCTTACCCATCCTGTAAAATGCTTGTATCATAAAAACGTGATTTTAGAAATTTTCAATGTATCCCTCCTTAGAGAAACTCATTTTTCATGAAAGAAATTCCAATATATATTTGTTACTTTTTATATCAGTATTAATGTACTTTAGTAGATGAACAGAAAAGCTTTGGTTGATTTTTAAGGTCCCAATCACAAAAGAAAATTTGACCTCTTCTTTTTTCCTCTAAAATGCCATATTTTTGTTTTCTTTTCAGTCACCCAACAACAAGAATATGAAATTGTCATCCATATTCAATAATTCGTTTAGAATTATTAAAAGTTTAATAATTATTAAAAGTTTAGCATGTAAAAGATTTAATAATTCGTTTAGAATTATTAAATCTCTTACATGCTAAACTTTTCGCACATATTCTTTCAAGCTGTTCCTGGAATTGTGCGGCAGAACTTTTTTTGAATAAACTGCTGTTTATTTGTTGATAGATCGATGATTAATTTTCTTACTTCTTACTGTAAATTGACGAAATAAGGAAGTTTTCTTCTTTTGATCTTGATTTTGCTATAAATATTTGTTTCGTGAGTAGCATTTAGCAACATGAGGCTGACATGAATTTGATTTTTCGTCTTAAAAAGCTTTATCTTTTTCTCTGGTTATCCTGTTGCCTTTAAAAATTCCTAGAGTCTTTTTTTTTTCTTTTATTTTAACCTGAATTATCTCTAAGCTATTCAGCAGAGAATATAACATGTAATAAAATAAGGCCATCAATTAGAATAATAACAGCTAATATTGTAATTATCAGAAGTTAGTATTGTGCCTATAAAACATCAAATATAACAATAACTAATATTGTAACAGGCAAGCAGCTAATATTGCATCACTAAAACCAACAATTATAATTATTGTATAAATTGCAAGCGAATAGCTACAGAATCACAAATATGGTGAGATTAATCATCTCGGAGAGAAAACTCATACATGGACTAGAAGAGAAACACGCTAATGTGACAATCAAAAATCGTAAAACAACCTTGTATTTAGCGTAAGTATATTGAACTTATACTTACGATAAATACAAGGTTGTTTTTACGATTTTGAAACTCATACATGTATGCCATCTAACAAAATCAAGAACAAGATTGAACTGAACACATATTCATCAAGGAGCAGATTACATGTTAATGAAAGTGCTCAATAAGAAAGTTGTAGGGAAGTACACCACCGGTCCTACTGGATTAATACCTAATGGACCTTCGATTTGGCGATTGGGCCCCGTCATCCTCTTTCTCCCTTTTAAAGAGGGACTATATAAGGTTCTCCCTTCTTTCCCCGTGCCATCTGTATGTAACTGGATAGTAGCACGTTCGATGCGTAATCGGGAAATCCGGATTTCGAATCCCAGTGGGGCAATGCACATTTTTTATGTTCCTGCGTCGACATAACCGTTTCTATTAAAATTGTGTTTTTCTAATAAAACTATCGTATAAAGTATGTTATGTTTAGGGTATACTTAAAAAACTTTTCTTAAATTTTTCCAATAAAATTATTTATAAAATTTGCCTTGTCTAGGGTTATTGAATAGTTTTTCTTTCATGTTGCATAAGATACAAAACTGCGTGATATAACCCATTTCTGTTAAAATAATTTCATCTTTATTAGGTTATTAACTATAATTCAGTTTATTATAGTACTTCGAATTTTGCTGAGAAAATTTCATTTTATTAAATCGTTTAGATTTTGCCTGATGAATTATATATTATTTCAGGGTATAATATCCTGATATAATTGCAACCAGATGAATGAAAAGGCATTAATAACATATTATATTAATAGACCTGTTAAATGTACCTAAATATATATAAATAAGCTTTAGTTGAATGCCAAAAGTCTGTGAGGATACTGTTTCTGATAGCATAAACTTACTTTATCTTCCACCACTGCATTATTTCTTTCAGCGTCAATAATACTATTTTAAGGTTCCTAGATCTGAACTCATTTAGAGAAACAAATCGAAATTGATTTAATTCTATCGTACCCCTTATTTTCGATTAAAAGTTGATTTGATTCTGTTTTATATCTTATTTTCGATCACGTCCGCTCTCCCACTATTCAGTAAATTTATATAAACTTTAACTAAAAACTATTCATTGAAGTGTGTTAATTCTTCATTTCTGTAGGATTAAAAATTAGCATTTTAAATGAATACCATTTCGAATGAAGTATATTTTATTTAAACAGGTAATATTTATTTATTTATTAACTTTTCCATGGTTATTTTAAATATTTTCAAGGATATTTAATAAAGATATGAAATGAAGATTACAAACAGTTTATAAACTCAGGATAGTCAGTTTTCATTTTGCGTCTCTATAACTTGCAAACAACTCACTTATTTATTTCTAAATTTTTGGGAGTAAATTTTGAAATATGAAATCTGAAGTTGGTCTTGTATTTTAGATATAAACGTACGCTTTTAACTTGATAGAATAGCTTTGCTACCTTGCCCAACATTTCTTTTCTCATGAAAAAGATGCAACTCTGGCTAACTGTAATTTTAAAATGGAAAGGTTCTGTTAAGAGAAACTGTCTTTTTATAAACTGATTTTTGTGTTTTCAGATAGCGTTTGCAGCCATATAGTTTCAACATGCAATCCGAATCCTTGTGTCCACAACCAGTCATGTATATTCAATGGTGAAGATTTTTTCTGCAACTGTACCTCGGGATTTCAAGGAAAATATTGCGAATATGGTAAAACTCGTTTCATGAATTGCATATGGCATATTTTTGTCTCCTTGTGTTTTCAATTAAATCTGAGTACTGAATGTAAATATCTTTTTTAGTATTTTGTTCGAGATCGAATTTACTGAATTTTCAAAGCTTATTTAGTTTCACTGACACCAAACATATTTTTCCTGTCCCTTTCTTTTTCACCTTTCTTCACTTTAAGTCTTCAGCCTTACTTTCATTTCCTAAAATGATGTCTCTTGTTAATGTTCATAACTATTAATAATATTGGTAAAAATTAATTCCCGATTCATTGCAGTTACAGTGTTGTATTTTATTTAAAATATAAAATGCTATATTTTAGATGCTAAAACAAAGAGGTATGAAAAATAGTTTTTTATGTATTTTAAGTTACTTTCATATAATTTTAGTATCATGATTTTAAAATAAGCAGATATAACCATAAGAAACATAAATGAAATTTTCTAAAAAGAAAAATATATTTCTGTAAGTAACACGCAGGCAGTTACTACTGAAATATCTCATATTTCATACTCTCATGTCTGGAAAAAGTATTGTTTATACACTTTTTGAATAATCTAATTTAATTTTATCAGCATAGGGAAATATTTTGTGAAAGAAATGGCCAATATTTATATGATCCTTTGCAATATATTTATGTTTTGATATAAATTGTTTCAAATAAAACTTGTAAGCTTAATTGTTTCAAATAAACAGCACGTCTTGGTTTGCTAGGTTCGAAAAGAGACCACTTTGAGAAAATAAAACTTGTTTTCACATCTTAATATTTTTTGAAGTGACATGTCAATAATAAAAACTTTTTGCTTTGTCATTTACTATGAAGCTTATAATGATCTGTATTATTACAAATTTAAAAGCTTTCGTTAAGCATTTTACAAATAACAACGAAGCCCTAATTATTTCATCATATTTGCTGTCTACTTATTGCTTCTTTCAACATAGCAGCGTTTATAAGCAAACTTAGAGTTTGTGCTTTGGAAAATAAGAGAAGGACGGTTATCTGCATCTAGCATTTATCAACAGTTTTTTTTATGGTTAAATGTTATAATTAAATTATGATCACATTAAGAGTTAAATTTCTTTTGATTATATTTCGATTTAAATTTAAAGAGGATATCTGAAATGCTCTTGCTAACAAAAGTTCTTTTCATCAGCTTTTAATTTAAATTTGTCGTTTGAACTAACGTGCTCCTTTTAAAACTGAGTTGAAATTTTTAAAATTCTAAGTTTTCAAAGAAATATATTCGGTGTACATTTTGAAATTGTGGCTAAAAGACCTAACTTACAGTTTGCCATGATAAGCATAAATGCATCCTTTGCTGTCACTAGGATCAGCGTATGAAGTATATGGGGAAAACCTCACTGTAATTGGTAATTTATGTTACCTATTAAGATAGTTGGCGAGTATTGAATTAGCTTTTGGAATATAATAAAGACCTAACCAGTTTATGGTTGTGTTATTAACAAAAAGTGAGTTGATTTTTATATTGCAAAATTTCATTACTTTTGATTTAAAAAAATCTATTTATTATCTAAACTGTAAGGCAAGGTTTCATGACAAAAATGTTCATACAAGAAACTCCATATCCATAAATCCCTACAGGGAAAGATACCCTCGCGAAAAGCTGCTTACAGAGTTGCCCATGTGGTCGAAAGCTGCCGCAGATAAAACATCCTGCTAATATATGCTTATGGAGAAAAATACGCGGGGAAATTTAATCGATATTTCATCATGTAACTGTTTTGAATAGTGCATTTTTGATTGCTCTAAATATTGTTTTAATAGTAAGGTGAAAACAGTTGATATAAATATGAATGCATTCATGAAAGGTGTTGTTATAAAACATCTGACTATTAGTATATAAAACATCTGACTAGGGTTGAGCTGAGTTTTGAGGTTTTGTGTCGTGTCTTTTACAGATCCAACATCCTGTATAACTTGTACAATAATAGTAACTTGGTTGCAGATAAATATGCTTTGTAATAGTTTAGTATATGTGAATAGCTGTTCTGTTCCCTGACCAGTTGAATACAGAATTTTCAGTCATAAGTTAGTAAATTTTACATTCCCTCTTCTACAATATTATAGGATTAAAAAACGTTAAAATATGCCTGAGAAATTTTCCTAAGGCCATTTTAATATTATGTAGCTAATGATAATTATGCATATAAGGTGCGCGTATAAAATAACCTGACAAATTAAAGCACCAAATGATAAAATAAAAAAGTGCAAGAAAAAATGTATATTTGAAAAGAGTGGCTCTCAACTCTCGTTAAAGAGAGTTTAAATTGGCCATTTTGTCATTTGCATATCGAAATTACGGAGTCGTTTTCATTTACTGAGAACACGTTGTAGCAAAAAAATTGCTTCGAATTGGAGCAGCATTGTAACATTTAATTTTGTTACAAATTAGGTAAATCTGCTACGAAACGTTAGTGATGATTCGAACAGTATGTGGTGATGTACCAAGAACACATGTGTGTGAGTGGTACAACTGCTTTAAATGTGGGCACGAAAGCGCTGAAGATGAATCAAATTGGTACGCCCTTCAACTTTAAGGAATGAGGAAAATGTGGAGAAAAGTCGTTGCTTGGTAAAAGCTGATGGACTTGTAACAATTCAGTAACTTTCAGACAAACTTGAAATAAGCAAAGAAAGCTGTAGATTAATTTTAACTAAAAATTGGAAAATGAGGGAAGTTTGTGCTGTATTTGTGCCTCGAATTTTGACAGAAAAGCTTGCTGTGAAGATTTTCTGACTATTGCGAGACAGGAAACAATTTCGTAAAGTGTATCATAGCAGGATATGAGACCTGGTGTCTACAGTACGAACCAAAACCAAAATGAAAAAGTGCACCGTGGAAAGAACTGTTTTCTTCCATATAAGTGAAAATGTGCCGAATGTCGAAATCAAAGACTGAGATGATGCTAATCGCGTTTTTCTATCACAAAGGACTTATTCACCAAGAGTTGGACCTGAAAATCAATCAAGTAATCAGAACTTTTACAAGGAGAGGCCCTTTTTCGATTAAGAAACTGGAGAAGGTGAGTTAGGATGGAACTTTTTGATTAAGGGCTTTGATTAAGCTTGGTAAATTCTATTTGAACAATAGAATTTACTAAACTTAGTAGACAGGCCTTGAAGTCTACCTACGTTATAGGAAAACCTGTGGTGTAATGATTTGGGTTTAAAGAAAACCCATAAAATAAAATCGTTTTTTTTTTTTTTTTCTGAAATATTTAGTAGTAGTAATTTAATACTTACATATGATTATTAAAACAAATCGTAGTAATATGAGGTTCTAGTTGTAATGATCTCAAATTACATATAAAAGATAGTCAAAAATCAACTAAACTATATGAAATCTTTCTTTAATTCGCTGTTATAATAGTATTTCTGATTGTGCTATTTGCTGTGAGAGCGTTTTTTTTTTTTTTCCATGCAGGTATTTTCATGTGGGCAGTCATATCAACCGTGTTTCTTCTGTAGCCATTTTGAATGTGCTCTGTTTTCTTGTGGCCTTTTATCTGGTCACCAAAAAAAAAATCTTTCTTAGTAGTAAAGTTAATGTAGAGTTTATGTAAAGCTATTATGACTATACACAATAAACCATCTTGAAGAGAATTTTTGAAATGATTCTAGTTCCTTTTTCATTTTCTTAAGAAGAAATGTTTAAATGATACAGGAAAGTAAAATGAAAAGAGAGAAAAACATTTAGGAAACATTGTTTTCGGTAAAATGAAAGAAATCTTCCCTATTTAGTGAACGATATCCCATCTCTTGAGAGTTCTATTATATTTCTGCGTGAATTCTACCTTCTTTTAGATTATTAGACAATTTCATCAATTTGGGAGGCAATGTTTAGTTTGGAGCTTTTAATGTGTTCCTTTATATTCTAAAGCAGAATTCGTAAAATAATGAAACTGTATGTAATGCAGTAATTTCAGTATCTCATAAAACTAGTATTTAAGCTTCAGAATTCTGAATATCTCTTACATAGATGTGGATGAATGTTTAGAAAATCAAGGTGGTTGCTCACATGGTTGTGTTAATGACATTGGAACATACCATTGCACTTGTCCTGAAGGTATGGTTCTCTCGAAGGATGGCTCCATATGCAAAGGTAATATTTTCCAACATCCTTTTCCACATCCATTTGCTTTAAAAGTAACTTGTTTATGTATGCATGTGTGTGTCTATTATGGGTAAATAAAATTTTTCATAATTTTGTGATCGTTAATTCATAATTTCAGATACCAAATTTTGTCAAGAAAGTCAGCGAATTTTTACGGTATGTTTACATCCCGTTATATGTGCTTATAAGCCTTTAAAATATAGCATTCCTTTCCAAAACATTAAATATAATAATATCAATTTCTTTCCCTAAGGATGGAGAATGGTGGCTGGATTCATGCCGTAACTGTTCATGTATTCATGGAGAGATCTATTGCGCTGAAATTCTCTGCAGCCCTATCACATGTCAACCTGTAAGTAGTCTAGATGTCATTAAAAGTATTTTATTACTTATATTATTTTCAGGTTTCGAAATTTTTCACCACAAAGAAAGCTGCTGTTGAAATAACATACTTTCATAAAAGATACTGTAACCATTCTGTCAAACAAAACCAAACTCAAGCAACTTTGGAATTATATTATAATTTTCATTCACTGCAAAAACATATGGTCGAAGCTTACAGATTCTTGTAAACAACTTCATCTTACAACTTTATTTTGTTGAGTGAACATTCTCCAAACTGTAAATTTCTGATAATTTGAAGGGAATGAAGCATAGACCCTGTGTAGGATCGAACTATTCTAAAGAGGATCTCGCGCATCTAGCCGATGCTTACCAGCTGTCGAATCTTTTAAATAAATCACCAAGAGATCCATTAACAATTAAATTTCATTTAATGAATAGCATAAGAATTTTTACAGAAGAAGGGATCAAATTTAACATTGCTGAGTTGCACACTCGTGTACGCAGCCGTAAAAGAATCAAAGACAACAAACTAGCTCTTTTACACTGCTGGAAAAGAATTCATCTATCTTTTTACTTCAATCCAGTGAGACTGAGGATGATTTCTAACATCCTCTCCCCTTTTGAGTCTGCAGCTACTACAGGAGGCTCAAACTCTTCCCAAATATTAAACAGATCAAGACGATGAGGCACTTTAACAACTCTTCCGGATTGGGTGAACTGGACATCCGAAGAAGGCCTAGAAGAATCCAACATCGGTTCCGGAACAGTTTCACTTTGGCCGACATTACTGTTCTTTAATCTGTAAAAAAGAACCTAAAATTTCATTAGATGATATATCCAAAAGAAAAATTCTCTGGATAGGTCTTACAAAAACATTAGAGTGAGTTTTCAGTTTAACAGTTCACATTTTACCGTTTTTTCCCGGTGGAAGTTCTATAACTTTGACAAGAGGCCAATTAAGACGTTTTTGAAGATCATCTCCGATGAGAACTACATCTACTATCACATTGAAATAATGACGTTTCTGGCCTTGTTGAATTAATAAGCCAAGGTACTCTTTTCGAAAACGCATTCTTAATTCCTTTAAGAGCTTAGTACGATATCGGATACGTTTACGATAATGATTAGGATCAATAAAATGAATATCAGTCACCTTAGTTTCCGAATTTTCAAGAAGGAGCATAGTTGGCGAAAGACGAACTAAATCAACGGAATCAATATGAGTACGTAAGTGCACGTAAGTTGATCACAGACTCACAGTCTTATAAAATGGTTTCTAGTTCCACATACGTTAGAACTGCTGTTCCCAAGATTCTCCTCAAAAGTTTTTCAGTATTCTAACAGTCTTCCCATCAGGTGGCGGTAGGTGGGTTAAATCTCCACTGAATTCGATACAATTCAGCTTCTTTATAAACTTTATTCCAGTCATTTCACAAAGATGTTGAATGCACCTTTGAAATCGCTACCGTTATCGCAATATATAATCCTCGGACGACCTCTTCTGGCGATGAAACGTCTCAGAGAAGGAAGAAAAGAGTTGGTGCTTAACGACATAACTAGTTCCAGCTGTGCATTTCACTCCGTTTACATATATTTATTGCTTTTCATTATATCGTCGTAAATTTTAATGGACTGCTGAATAATTTTCAATATAATATTATTTTAAATGTTAACTTTTGCTCTTTTCTATATTCCAGGAAGAAAACATGGTTTCATTACCGGGTGACTGTTGCCCTAAATGTGTTTTATGTAAGTTTCATCCTTTAGTGATTTTAAGTTACTACCTTGACAATTAGTGGATTCTAAATTTGTGTTTCACAAATATAAAAGAGACTAATAATGCAGAAATTAATAAAAAATCTGCTCAAATGTCATATATAAAGTACTATAGTGAAATGAACTCAGATTTAGTTATTATTTCTGGCGAAGTAGTTGCTGACTATCTGTGTAGAGAAGGACTTCCAAAGAAGGAATGACTCCTATTTGTTTTTTGCACGTGTGCTAAACCTCAAAATCCAGCGCATTCCAGGAGCTTTGTTGCCGCTCATCGAACCGGGTACCAAACTATCAGTATTCCGCAGCTTTAGCAATTTGGCTATTGATGGACAGAAGTTTCGGCATAATTAACGACTGTAATCTGTAAACATTCCGCCAAAATGTTTTTAGATTATTTTAATTTTTATTCGCATGTAATAAGGCATTTCCTTGCTAATTATGACTAAAGAGAAATAAATAAAGCTAAAATAATAGAAAATATTAACAGCATTTGAGAAAAAATGAACGGCATTAATAAAGGTTAATTAAATCTATAGTGGAAAAATCTTTATTATCAGATATAATTCTCATTTTAGAAATCAGTTATTTAGTAATAGGAGTTTAAAAATTATACGTTATTATACATAAGCATAATAAGCCACTGGAAAGGTTATTGCTTTGAAATAGCTTAATATAAATGTAGCTTTATAAAAAAAATAGTTATTTCTACGTGCAATTTTTGGATGTTGAGGCATATATGAATATTGAAAAAGGCATTGACACGGCAGAAAAGCCAGTATAACAACGATATCGCAAATAATTTGAGTAATAAAATTTGGTTAATGCGCAGTAACAAACAGCATAATGAAAAATAAACTCTTCCTTTTGAAAAACTACAAAAAAAATTTTTTTTTAAGTCGTGCAATAAATCTGATTGGTCAGTAGAAACCAAAAGAAAATACCCAAAGTAGCCAAAAGAAAAAAAAATGTGCCACGAGATGGTAAAGAAATGTAACGACACTTGATATTCCAACACCGCAAACCTATCTATATACTCATTAAATATGCACAACTAATGAACGCACACAGCACGCTGAAATAGAGTACGTCAAAAGGTCACTCGCTCACTATAAATTCAAACCGGTTTCCTTGTAGTACTGTTAGCGACACTCTAATCGGAATAGTGGTTAACGATACTGGCTGTCATATCGCTGGGCCCGGGTTGGGCCCGAAAAATGCATGGATGTTTATAAGTTTAGTGTCTGTGCTTTATAAGGGCACCCAAAATGCTGGTGTCCTCTCGAATGGTTTGGTGTGAGAGAAGGAGGGCTGGGAGAGCCTCGGGTCCTTCCCCCAGGCGCTCTCCACGAAGATTGGGGCCGAGTTTGTGCAGTTCGTGTGGTAGGACGATACTTGTACAACCAATGGTGAAACTGTGGTGTCCCGCCTCCTTTTTCCTCTCCCGTTGTGCTGTTAACCGTATTCAAAGAGCTTCGTTCGAAACTTGTGCTTCGTTCATAAGATGGTTTTGCAGTCTTAGTCTAAGTGGTTTAAGGCATAAAAGTCATTAACTCCATTCACACTTTTGTAGAAGGACTTAAGTCATGGCCAGTCAGGGAAGGGTAAGCTGCGCATGCATAAATGTGTAGCTGACTCAGGGAAACTGTGGACTGATATTTTCTTCTTTGTGATTGGTCGGCTTGACAATTCCAAGTGACATAAAGTTGAAAATTTCGAACATTTATTCAAAATCCTTAAACCAGGTTTTCTGACATAGAAAGATCTGGTTACCTAGCAACGAAACTCGCTTTAGACCACTAACTCATAACAACCGTATGAACTAAGCCCATACGCAGTTGACCAAGTTTCAGAAAGGCTGCATAATAGCCTTTGGGACACAGGGCCGTTAAATCACTAGTCACAAGGATCGAGGCAATAAAACAGTGAGACGATATTGTCAACAGTAGAGGGCAGAAAAAAAGCGTGTAGAACATCAGCTTTTCTCTAAATGATTTGTAGGTGTAATCCCACATCACTATTGCACCAAAGACAAACACATACCCTGAAGCTTCACCAGCGCCCCAATCTGAGCACAGATGTTGTCAGCAGTAGTTCCAACATGCCGCCCTTTAACCAGCAGAGGATAGTGGCAAACAACGGAGGATGTCTTTTTTAGAAGTACTAAAGTTTTCGTTGGTATATATTATTTGAAGAGGTATGTAGATCCTATTCCTGAAACGAGTAATATTTAAAAGCATTAAAATGCTGTTTTAGAAGATTAACTGGCGACCGTTTGGGTAAATCATTGGACAGCAGCAATTTGTCTCCGATTCAGTCCTGAAAGAGTTGATCATTAAGGTTTTCTTTACATGTGCAAAGTAAATAAATTTTGGTTTCCCCCAGAACTTTCTGCACTAAGGCAGATAGTTCATCCAGATTGTAGCCTTTATTATTGTTGCTAATGAAAGAAATTATAATCTAAAAATTGCTTAGTCAGTACACCTGAAATGTACAAATGATGATACGAATGAAAGGAATCAAACTCATTTCAAATTATGACTTGTAAATTCTCGAGGAGTCAACTGTATTCCAGGAATAATCTTCCTTCTTTTATTTCATTTTTTATTTATCTAGATGGAACTTACGAATAAATTTGATTTTTGTTCCGTTGTCTAATTTTAACCCTAGATGAAATTCTTACTGTATCCAATAAATACAACTCTCACAACGAAATCAAAAAAGACGAACAATATAGACTGCAGTCATAATTAATCCTTATATTATTATCATAAACTAATAACTTCAAATTTTGACAGAAAATGCGACGTTAACAAATAAGATGGACCACCACGCAGTCATTTTCTTCCGTCAATGTATTTTCCCCTTTCCTAAACGATCCGGCCGATGTTGCCACGCAAGCGTTTCATAATCCGCGAATTGTTCGCAATGATTCCATTCGGTTAGTTCGCAATAAGAGGTGCTAAGTATTAGAAGTAATATGAAATATTGAGGTACAAGTGAACAAAATTGTGAATACGTCGTAAAATGGAGAATTACATATGGAAATTCTGACTTCATTCTAAAATATGAATTTTAATTTAAAAATATATCTAGTTGTTGTTGTTTTTTTTTTTTTTTTTTTTTTTTTTTTTTTTTTTTTTTTCATTAAAGGTAAATCGCAGAGCAACCTAAACATTACGTTGGAAATCAAAGACGTACTTATATATGAGAAAGAACAAGGAAATCAGCATGGACATGAAAATGTAAATGACATTAAAGTGATGCGTTAAAAATGTGAATAAAATCAAAGTTTATATATGAATTTGAGTTTAAGAAATGAACAGCAAGAACGTAGATTAAAATCATGTATTTGAAGTGAGCAGCAATTACGTTTAAAAATATATAAACTATATTAACAGCTGTCCGCATGCAGAAGGTGTTATAAATTACAAATATTAAAAATATGATGGAAAGCAATAATAACGTCTAAAATGAAAAGATATTAATATATATTCGTCTAAATTAAAATATATTAATTAATTAATCTAAAATTAAAAGGTATTAATAATACAATCTAATACATATTAGAATTTATAACGGTATATACTAGAATTAAATGACTGAGATGTGTAATTTCCGAACGAAAATCGAGTTTCGAGTTCTGATCGAAAATCGAGTTCACTTTTGGAGGGGGGATGTCTGCACCCACAAAATAGCGAACAGATGCGAATCTTGTGATGCAAATGTTGTCTGAAGTATTGTTCAAATCATTAGAACTTCAACGCCAAGGACGCTATAGGACTTCTAGCAACTGAACAGGAGTTGCAATGCTATTAGCTCATCGAAATGCAATCGCAAATTCCATGCAAAATGGAGTTCCATTTCGGTACTAGTCCTTCATAGGTTATCTCCACAAAATTTAACATTTTCATGAATGATTACTCCCGATTTTACTGATTATGATTACTCCCGATTCTACTGCTTATTTTTCATTTCATTAAAAATCAAGACTCATTTGAGGGGGAAAAGTTTTAGCTTAAATGCACATAATCGTCAAAATCAGAATTTTATGATTCTACTATATGCTTACTTTATTGTCATGTATTGAAAGTTCTCTGAGATAAAAATTATTTAGCTGTTTAGAGATTTATGGATCTCCTTTACAAGGTCCTACATTCTTAATTTTGTAATACTTGTACTGAATTGTATTTGCATTTTTACTGAAAGTTTTAGATAAAGACTATAAAAATAGTTGTCTTGTTATCAATTTGATTTGAATTTTACATTATTTATAAAAAAACTTGAAAAAAAATTTGTGAACTATGACAAAAAGCTGTTCTAGAAAACTTTTCTGAGAAGCTCACTCATATTTCAAATTACCTGAGTGCAGTACTGTGCTCTTAAACTTAGCAATCTATCGATTTGTATAAAACTGAAACCTTATTATTTTAAGACAGTAGTATTTAATTGTAAAATTGATAGTACTTTATATATTACTTTAATTTATTACTACATTATGATGAAAATATCATCAGTAATATTATTTTATGACTAGTAATGTAATCTTAGATTTATTAAGATGAATATTTGATATTTGTGGAAATATGTAATTTATATTCATTCAATTTTTATGCAGGGTCATTCTGTTTGATATCACCAAACAGCAGCATGACGTCTTTTGATTTATCACAGTATGAGTTTCTGAATGATTGTACTCACACCTTGCTTGAAGACTGCATCAACGGCCTCTTCAAAGTGCAGTTCAGTTCAGTTAAAAACTACTCTCAAAAAGCTTTAATCATCTACTATGAATGCCTCAAAATTGAGATTACTCATTCGGGATTAATACTTATGGATAATGAAACGTTAGAACTACCTTTCATCGAAACATCAGTTTACATCAATTCTGATAACCACAGCATAGATATATGGACTCATTCAGGCCTGTATGTACAGTGGTATGCAAACGGTGAAATTCTGATTGCGGTGCCAACCCATATGTCTAAACACATGTGCGGTCTGTGTGGAAACTTCCAATCGTATAATATAATCAAGCCAGGAAAATATAATTTCTACGGAACATCAGTAAGGAAACTTTCTAATTTTCTGCATGTAGATATAGTACTTTAAAACCGAAGCCACATTATTTTTTCTGCATATTTTTTTCTAGAGTTCAGCAATTATTTTTTTCTTTCATCTTTCTTTTGAATTTTTTCACTCCTTTTTTAAAAATCCTTTAAAACACTACACATTTTTTTTCAAAGCATGATATATATATATAAATTAAAATTTAGGACTTTCAAAAGTTACATCTGCATGCCATTCATATATATTCTGCTGCTTATTTAGCATATATATATCTTATCACAAAAATAATTTACATCACAGGTTTATAATTTCTATTATTTAAGAGGGCAGTCACATTGGAAAACAAAATTCGTTAAGTTCATGCATTCATCCAATAACTTGATATAATAACTTAAACATAAAAATAGCAATTGGTTTTCTTTAATAGCACTTCGAAAATTCAATTATATTATAAATGCTCATCTACGTACTTGACACTTTAAAATGCTTTGAAATTCTTACACTGTCCGTAACATCTGAACACTTATTGCATGCTCATTTTAACAACGTTTTTGAGCTTTTTATAGCACTTTGTGGTAAAATGTGTTGAAAAATACTTCGGACATTGCGAATTCTAAAATGTTTGTATTTAATTTCAAGTTTCAGAGAAACAAAACAATGATCATGACTCTCAGTATTAGAGCTGTACAATTATTTCTGTTTGCATATTTGTACGAAAAAAAGGGAAATTTATGAATCTTCTTTATACATATCGTCATAAGTAGTGGTTAATAACTATATTATGCATACATGTATGTATATTGTATAAGTGAAATAAAAAGAAAATCATTACCATCTTTTTATTATACATCTTTAACATTGTACCAAACTGCGTAAATTAAGGCCGAATACGTTTTTCTGTACATTGTTATAATAATATATAAATATATGTAAAATCCCATTTTAACAAAAACCTACTAATTTTGTTAACCATAAGTACAAGAGAATTGATCAGGATTTGTAAAATTATGCCATGATTTATCACCTAAATGTTATTTCATACAAAGAAAATTAAAAGGCAAACAACTCCTAATTTTTTATTTGTATGGTGCTTTCTCTATCTGCTGGAGCAAATTCCTTCCATAAATTTTAATGCGAGTTAGATAACATTTTAGATACCCTGTGGATCATAAAATTCAAACACCGAAGCTGAAACACCGAATTTAATCAATCCCATGAGGAATTTCTCTGCGAGTTCCTCAAATACATAATTTTCAGAGTGATTTTGAAGTTGTCATCTTTCTTTATAATATTAGAAACTCCGTATCAAGCGGAAACATTTAAAATTTTCAAATTCTCAAATATAGATAATTTTAGAAAGTTTAAAACATTTTTAATCAAAGAATACTTTTAAAATTGTAGTTTCAGTTTTAATCCGCAAGTCCTGAAATACGACTAAAAATGTAATAGTAGAAACTGATATTTTCAGCCAGCAAAAGTACAATATCTGTAGATCTCTCGAGAATACAGGGTTCTCTAATATGACTGTTGGCAAAGCTGGAAACGTTGCAATAAGCCTGTAAGGTACGGTTTGATGCGAAATATTCTGTAATACCTCGGATAAATATGTATACTGAAAATATGAAACTATTTAAAAACAGTGCCAGTTCCAAAAATGAATAATAGTACATAAATTTGGTGATAATTTTGTAAGGAATTCAAAGAGTTAGCTATCTTTCCAATTTTCTTTAACACCATTAGCGGATGCGTCAGTGTTAATACCTGGTATTTATACAGGTAAGTGAGAATTTGACGAAACACTGAACAGTTATATTTTGGAAAGAGGATGCATTCATAGAAGACTAAAGAAAAATTTCTTATTTGTTTTACACGTTGGAAGATCTACGAAAACTCTTTGCATTTTGAATCTCTTTCTGCTTAGGATCGAAGTAACAAGGAAGATCTTCCAGCTTTCAACATACGAGATTTTTTAAAACAATATATGTGAATCTACCCATCTAAATTGCATATTTATAAAACCGTTAGCTGCTAAAAGCCTGAAGACAAGCAAATAAAAATTTTAAATATATTATTACGATATTTATGTATGTAACGTTTTTTACAATTTTCCAGAATTTCGAAATGCTATTTCTAGACTTCACTAAGGATCGATCTCCGAATTTGAAAATGTAAAATAATAAAGAAATAGGTGCATACAGAATGTTAATTTACATGCATATATTCATAATGACTTACATTAGTTTTATTTATGCTCACATATTTGTTTTCATGCATTATTTGTCTCACTCTTACAGCAGTTCAAATAAGATGTATAAGCTTTCACAAAATTTTGAAACTTACCTTATTGAAGAAAATTGCTTTATATTCCACGTTCACCCTGAGCATAAGATATACGTTTTGCAGAACAATCATTACTCTGATTATAGATGACGTATAATGAATAAATAATCAAAATGCAGGGATGTCATCAAAAAACTTCCCGATATATGAACCCTCAGCGGCCTATCCACTCAACCAATCGAAATAAATTTTCAGATTTTGTTACTTGGAGGTATGCGCTTGAGATTGGAATGATTTAAAACAATAGAGCTGTCACGATTATGGTTACAGTGTAACAATTTCGAAATTCTTATCCACTTTTCACCACACAGGCAACACCCCCCTTTTTTTCTAGCGCTAATTGATCAGTGCATTGAAAACCATAAATGGCGTTGAAATAATACGCGTATGAAGAAAATTGTCGGCATAAAACATTTGAAAAGAAAATAATTGTAAAGGACCATAAAAACACAAGAGAGGGAAAAGAAACTTTCATTATAATTATAAGTTTCCAAACGTGTACAACGTTCCGTGGTAGAGCCATCTCCCATAACTTTGCAGTTTGATGGCCATCACCATCCCTCGACCTCAATCCGATGGATTTCTAGTTCTGGGGTTATCTGAAATCTACGGTTTACACATCTAATCCACGAGATTTGTCAGAACTGAAAGATGCTATAAAATGTGAAGTTAAAACAGATTCCTCATTGTTTTCGCAATATCCCGCATGCACTGCGCTATCGTCCGCGAAGGTGAACACGTTGAAAATTTGCAAGTCTAAATAATACCTTTTGCCTCCTCTCCTCTTTTGTGTTGTCACTAGTCTTTTGCAATGCTCTTCTTTTCAAATATTTTCGCCGGCAAATTTCATCAGACATGTGTCATTCCAACAATATTCATGTTTTTTCGGTGCTGTAATATATTTGCACAGGAAAGAAAGTGGGTGTTGCTGTTCAAAAATTTCGAAATTTTTCGATGTAATAGTAACTGTAAGAGTTCTGTTGTTTTAAATCTTCACAATCTCGAGCGCATACCTTCAAATAACAATATCTGAAATTTCATTTCGATTGGTTCAGCAGATAGGCCTCTAGGCGTTCATATATCGAGGAAGCTTTTTATGACCACTTGTATATCTTTTCTCAGCTATATACGAGTCGAATTATATACGATCTCGTATGCCGAATTGGTTAAAAGTAACCGCTGAAGAAAGCAAAAACAACTACAGTTAGCGAACCGAATGAAAACCAGTTGCAACAGATTGCTTTTATGTAAACATAAAGCAAGAAACAAATAAATAATCACTAACTTACGTAAAGCGTAAATAAAAAAATTGACGAAATGATTTCGATAAAGCAATGAAATTATTTACTTGAATTAGAACACTGTAAATTTTATTAATACTTAAGTAGTAATGCACTGAAAAGTGAAATCATTCTGCTTGTTTAGTACAACACAATGTCAAAAAGTTATCCATAAAATAAATGTAAGTTGATGGTTAAAAATATGTATAAGTTAAAACTTCTTGCTATGAAAGTAAGAGTATTTGAAGTGGTACAAAATCGGTTTATGCTTTAGCCTCAGAAGATTCAAGTAACACGAATAGAAGTTACAAGGATGGAATGCAAGTCTTAGCTGCTTAACACGTCGACAGAGAGAAGGTTAGCTTCTTAATGGGTAGCAAGGATTAGTTACTTAACGGGGGCATTCGAGGGGGATATTTTTAGAGAAATTAGCTGTTATTGAAGTTAAATGTGGGAAAAACCATGACTACATCGGCTAGCTAACTTTTTTTGTGGAAACCGAACCCAAACATGGGTAGTGCCACATTTATTGCATGATATTCAGTCAAGAGGCTACTACTTGCGATTTGTTACTAAAATTCACAATCTGATCCAGATACTCGAATGCTTGTGTTACTAAAAATACATCCACTACATTTCTATACCGTGAATAATTCCTTAATTCTGTTCATGGCATAAATTTCATTTTATTCAGAAGGTGACTCATGGGTTTATATACTTCCTTTCAAGCGAAAGGGGTCATTCGGCAGAATATTCACAGAGACAAACGTTAAGTACTGAGAAATGCTGAAATGCTATAAACTACGTTTTTACAAAACATCTGAACAGTTATGCGCTGAGTTAAAATGTGTAAAACAAAGGAAATTTTGATCTTCAGTGGAAAACTTTCCATTTAAAAATTTTCATCATGAACAAAAATATCTGAAAACCGAGTAATAAAATAAAATAAAAGCTTGCACTGCTTTCGTTTTTCCCCTGATTAGTAGGAACTTACTAGTAAAGCATTCCTCAAAAATTATGGCCACATCCATCTGTCATTTAGCTGTCTCATCACCAAGAATGTTGCCTAGGGTGCAACTGATTTGACGCCGGGGGGGGGGGGGGAAACCAAAACTTCAATCTCGGTTTTGATGGAGAACCCCCGGAAAACTGATCCGAGTGTTCCCCACACCTCTTCCTCCACATCAACCTCTCGAGAAGACTTTCGGTTTCACTTTCATTTTAAGTACCCTCGTGCCGCAAAAACACAGTATACTTACAAACATATATGTCTTCTTTTAGATTCGAGCTCGGGTCCAAGACTACGCCAACCAGCTTCTTTACCACTCTGCTAGGGCAACTGCACTGTTTGTTAAAATACTGCATTCCCCCCCATTTGTATGAAGTAGGTTGTTGTTGTTGTTCCAAACGGGTAGGCAGTTACACTTTAATGCGTTCAATTATGAAATGTTAGATGACGATTTTAGATGATCAGTTTTAGATGTTAGTTGACATTTACAAATATGAGTAATTTTATAAATATTTTTATATCAGTAACGTCATACAGAGATAAAAAAATACTATGTGTTTATGAAATATGAGGCTCCATGATCATCAGCTTTCTTTGTTTATCAATCCAATATTTAATAATATAATCCATTATTTTATGGTGCATTGATAAGATATGTAGTTATGCTTCCTTTTACCTGACATTTACAGTAGTCGCCGCTTTATGAGATTACGTTTAATAACATTAACCGAATGATAACATTAATCAATGCGAAAAAATATCCGTTAAAATAGCGATGGAATTTAAATTAATTTAATATGCAAATAACAAGAACATATAAATAGGTATTTTCACAGCATTTTAACTAAGAAAATACAAAAGTTTGTTTATGAACCGTTCATAACGTTTCTGAAAATTATAATATTTTATTTGTGTTAATGTCTGGAATTCATCTCTCATCCGAAAAAAACATACCAATACAAAATTTTAAATTAAGAACAAAGTTTAGTTTGTCGCAGGTGTTTTCAGGTAATTCTTTTTTTCAAAATGAAAAAAAAATCTGCAGTCCTCCCCCTCCTGAAAAAGAAAGACTTGTCTCTGATCGCCTTCAAAATCGATAGTGCTTTTCAAAATTGGTATGTCAAAGTTTGTTTTTTTGCCTTATTTTAAATGACTGACTGAAACCAAGCTGTTCGGTGACTTAACCACTCACTTGGCGGCATTTCTCTGTCACTGGGAAATTTTTAAAACTATTTTCACTTTATTTGGCAGCTTAACTTTAAAAAAATATATATTTTATATTAGTTTGATCATATTAATCGAACTGTTGATCACAATAAGCAATATATTTCACATATTTTCATATACAAATGGGTGGGACCTCAGCATATCGATAACAATATCCGAATGGTAACTTTAACTGCGATCACATTAGGTGGCGTCTACTGTATATGCGTAGAATCTATGAATCTCCTGCTTCTTACATTTCATATTCTTTTCTGCAAACTTTTAATACACAGACTAATTTTACTAACATAAAAGCGCATTATTATTCTTACTAACCTCTCATTTTATTGTCAACAGGATGAAGAAGATTGCTATCTTCTCGGTGAAGATTATCTTCTCGTTGAAGATTATACATATAATTTTGCTCTGAATTGCCGTCCTTCATTTGCCTTTCTTGTGACAATTTTCATAATATTTTATTTGTGTTTTGTGGATAATTTAAAACAGTTTTATATTTGAAAGTGCCAAAAACTTAAAACATTTATATTTGTGATGCTAAAAAAATGTGCTCCCTTTAATAAACCAAAGATGAATATTTGTGATGTTAAGAAAAGGGTGTTTATGTATGAAATAAAGTTGAAAATGTTCAAATTTGTGTATGAAACTAATTTATGTTTAAATGATTACCATCTCCATCGCATGTAATATATGAATTTTTAATCGTTTTTGATCAAAATAGTTTTTATACTGTATAGTTGTATATTGCATTAAAGTGTAGTTAAAATACTGTTCTACAATTTTTAATAATACTTAACATGCTGCTGTGATATTTAAAGATGATTAATAAAATCCTGCTCATCAATTTGATGATTCAAAGTACTACATTATAGGCAAGTTTACTGATATAGCTCACACAATTTTATACAGCACAAAAATCAGAAAATTCGATAAATAATATCTCATCATGCGCGTATCCAGGGAGAGTAATAAAAGTGCCCTAGCACCTTCTGCTTTCACATGGATGTTTAAAATCCGATTCATATTAACGTTTTAATGTTTTGACATTTTAATTGTTTAAATTTCGATTCATGGGCTACGCGCATGACGGCATTATTTCTCTTTGCAAAGCAATGATAAAATCATACAATGAAATTGAAAAATGATAGCTTCGTTGATTACAAGATACAAGAACAGCTGCATAAAAGTATTATATGGTATTCTGGTGAGAAAGACTTAGAAAAAGAGGTTAAAAACTTTCAAGTATAAAATGTACTAATAAGCATAATTCTTTTTCAACTCATATAATTGTTTTACATTTTTCTTAGAAATATTTGCTTAATACAAACAATGTAAGAAGAACGTAGTCTGCGCGAGCGACGAAATCAACTCGTTCATTTATTCAAGTTATCTTACATATCCCCAGCTGTGTTATACAGATTGACTCTCTTTGGTAGCAAAACCTAGTAACAAACTCTTAACAGACGTTATGCGAAATAACGCTACATCTGGAAGTTTACACACAGAGCTTTGAAAAGGTTTTAACAACCCTTTTATAAAAATCAGAACTTTAACAGAACAGCACGTCTCGTGCTTGAGAAACTCAGCCAGCACTTGTAGCAAGATAACTTAAAATAATAGTTAATTAAAACTTTAATTAAGCTAGTAGTTTTAATTTAACGCTAAATTGGCTGACAAATCTAGCCGACGTAAGTATTCAAAAATTCGACAGCTATAATGCAAAGCCAAGTAATTCAGGCTATCAGAGCTGGAAGAAACGAAACGTGCACATACACCGGCAGAAACACGCTTCGTCCTACAATCTAACAGCATCAGCTTAAATATCGAACTAATTTGCATCCTGGTGAGAAACGGTAAGAGAAGGGACAATAAAAATCTACGTCATACAATAATTAGTTATGCAAAATAATAATAACCTTATACTGTTAATGTTTATTACATTAGGGAAAAAATAATGTACAGCGTGAAAAATTCTGAAACATTAAATGAATAACTGGTACAAGAATTTAAAAATTTTTCTTGTTATAAAATTGTAATTTATATATTCTTCTACGGAAGACGTGAAAAGGAAATCTTGGAATTAGTCATGAATTTATTTGGGGAAAAAATTAACGTTCAAACAAACATCTTTATTACGTTACATTTATCGCTACGGCATACAATTTAGAAATCTCTTTATCATGATTCTGATAATTCTTTTTATATATCTTCAGACTGCGTATTAAAAAAATTAATTTCTCAAACCTGTTCTTTTCCTGCAGCTAACAATTTTAATAATTTCCACAACTCTAGTAAATAGAAATTGTCCTGAATAAAATTAATTTCTGAAGATAATCTTCCAGTTCCTAAACGTCTATTGCTGAAGATGATAGACTAATCTCGTTACTTTATAGCTCCTTCAAATTTGTTTTGAATCTGCCAGTTGTGTTTCAGATGAGTTTTTAAATTTGTTGCTTTCACGATTGGATACTATATGACTATCTTAATGAAATATTTTTATAAAGTCAAAAACCGTTCATAGAGATATACTGAGAACTAATCAAAAAGTGACGGTTTAACAAATGTTTTTAGAGTAAATCTGAACATGTCAAGTTATTACAGTACAATAATCGAAAATTATGTTAATAATAACCGAATAAATTAATTTAATACATTCAAAAGTACAGAGAACGCCAAAAGTCACTAGACTTTTAAAAATTCATAAAAAAATTAACACCTTTATCTTAGAAAAATGCGATTTGCATCAAAATTCATATCACAAATTCGTATTGTTCTTGCAATTAAAATATTTTAATTCGTAAATTCGCCAGTAGAGGGCGCTGCACTGTCCTCCTAATCTTTAATTAGTGTATAATGATAGAAACTATGCTTAAAAGCTGTAATTTTTTATTTTCAGCTAAGTCGCAGTGTCGTCAGCGTCTCGAGACGTGGTAGAATTCTCCGGCTGGGAAGTTACAGAAACGATTCTGTGTTCCTTAGTAGATCTCAGTTTCTGTTATATATTATTATTCTACCCAGCCCATGACATCAGTAGATATCCGGTCTTATGTATATGAAAGAAATTGCGTTTGCACAAAATAGCGAACACGACAGCTAATGTGGGCTTAGATAACGGACAGGATAATTTTCAGCCGCAGACTGGTCAAACAGGATGAGACAAATTAAACTTAGATAAACTCACTCATAAACAAATTACCTGCCAAATGCAGATTAATTATTTCATAAATAAAACTCAAAAGCGCCACTCATTAATGATGAATACCACTAACTAGTGGGTTACTTTCTTGCTACAGAAAGAATTAACCAAATAGTAGAAAAAATTAACCAAGCGTCTGAAAAGACAAGAAAAACTCCTCCAAGAGCTCAATCAATAGCGAGGAAAACTCGACTAAAACTAAACAAACAAAATATGCTGCTCAAGAGACAACAGAAACAAACTCAACTGCTAATGAATTTAAAATACCCAAGAAAGTGCGTACTCTTATTTAGTCCACAAAATCGGATTTAGAACATCCTATAAACTTGATCCATAACATCTCCAGATAGAAGATGTTATGGATCAAGATTTAACCACTAACAATACAGAAATCACAAATAGCTCCGCAGCCAGTGAAAACACAGGCTAAGATGGATTAAGTCCCCCAACCAAACGAGCAAGTAAAATCCCGCCGATTGTAACAGCTGAGGCAGATATCAACTGGAAGAAACTGAAAGAGGAAATTGAACCTTTGTGCACTAAAGAGATAGTAAATGGTGATTTAAAAGGCCAAGCACTTAACATAAAATTGCATATGCAGAAGGACAGTTACTAAATATCTGAATGAGAAAGGAACATCTTTCCATACGTTTTTACTAAAATCAGATAAACCAATCAAAGTTATAATAAAAAAAATTACTCTCAAACACAGACGTAAAAAATATAGAAGAGAAACATTTACAAACCTGGATATAACTTTTCTAAAAATAAGACAACTTACGAAATATAAACAGGGAAACACAATCCTACTACCTGTGTTTCCTGTTGAGACGCCGAGAACATCAGAAAGGAAACAAATTTATAAACTTGAATACTTCATGTCTATGAGAGTAGTAGTTGAACTGTTGAACTAGTATACAAAGCAAAGCCTGGCCTGTGCAATGCAACAGTTATGTCAGCGCAGTGGACGTAGCCTAAGCATGTGCTATAATAAGACAAGATTTATGAAATGTGACCGTTCACTAAACTTTATAGTATGCATAAAGTATATATAGAGGGATAAAAAAAAATATCTAGCAAAAATGTAAAGGTGCGTAAACGGGAACGAAATAAGCAGATTTTGTAATGAAATGTATGTGTCGATATAGCATATTGAGATGGTACAGAGTGCTATTGAGAAGTAGGTAAAAGCATTGCTGGCGTAAACTGTTACCTCCCGTGCGGCGTTCTAGGGATATACATTGCAGCACAAACATGGAGCTTAACGGTATGCATTTTATCGAGGGGGCTGTAGACGGAAATGGAGCAACTGGTCAAAGAATGTACTTGGGAACAATTCTCTGACCTCGTTTAAATGGCTGCTCCGTTTAACCACATAGCTAAAATGCATGTCGACGAATTCCGTATTCGTGTATAAATGCTTACCGCTCAAAATACGCACGGATAAGAGTTTTGCAAGCTAAACACTTTTACTTACCACTCAACAACTCCCTCAAAACGCTGTCTCGGCACACACATCTCATTAAAAAAATCTGCTTGTTTCATTCCCCTCTATCTACGTTCACTACATTTTTGCCCGATATTTTTGAATCACCCTATATATGTTTGTGTACAAGATAAAAATTTTAATTTAGTTTTATCTTCTTCTTCGTACTGCACTTACTTTTATCATAACCTAGCTCCCTCTTATTTCAACTAAAATTTAATGCGTAACGTTAACTGATGATCTCTATGAGAAAACGCTTAGTTAATTAAAAATGTCTTATTGCAACTAAGTCTCTCGAACCCGTTGCCCTTTACTCAAGCGAAAAATATGAAAAATAGCTTGGTAATATTTTCAGCTGCAGCAAACTCTTCCATCACGCATCTGTTAGCATAATTAATAGCCGATTTAAATGCCTTATAAAATTTTAATTTTTGTGTAATTTATATGTCCATCACTTAAAATTATACGGCTGCGGGCAGCGAAATACCGACAGAACTGGTAAATTAAGTCTCCCAAAACGTTTTATATGAAATATAATTTTCCGATCTATGTAATGATATATAGATCGAAACTCTGCGACTATTAAAATAAGGCTAGGAAAGAAAATATTAATACTATTTTTTTTTTCAATCTTGTTCGAATTTTGAAACATTTGCGTTATAGAATAATTGAACGAAGTGCGTTATAGAAGTACTTTCATCCAATTGCAATGCGAAATACTCACTGTGTTTTATTTTTTGAATAAATGTCTGTTTTATGGAATTTGCTATTTCATGAATTCGTTGTCTTACTATATCATTTGATAACGGAATGTTATTAGGTTCATTAGTCGTTTTTTCCTTGAATAATGTTAAAACGATACCTTTAACTGCTGGTAATATAAGGTTTTCTCTAATAGTGTGAGCCTGCCTAGTCTTAGCAATTCTTAGGCTTACCAGGTAACTAGCTTCCAAAGCTTTTTCACTGGAAGTTATAACGTTGCGCGCCTCCAACTTGCACGCAACCAAGAGGTGACTGTGAAAACTTGTATAAAAGATAGAGCCTTGTGAAGGTTTAAGTCCCTTTTTATTCAACGTAATAAAATTACAATT